TGCCCTAAATGAAACTGCCTTCTGACACAAAATTCAGACATAATAAGTCTTTATTGGATAATGTCTCACACGATGGGATAAAGAGCATAGCTGGCGATGCCGCATGTATTTTTGCCATTGCGTATCATTCTCATGTAGCCTCCTTCTCCCCATCCTGTACCCCAACTGAGAAACGAAAGGAAAAGTCACACACCTAGAATTGAATTACCCTGCTTTTTAGACATGCACCCTGACACATGGTATTCTATGAAGTAACTTTTTGTTACTGTAATCTACACAACAGGTGCACAACATTTAAATAGGTGTTTAGTTTGTTGTGTTGCTAGTAGTGTACCAGAGGTGTTAATGTACTCATAAACCTAAATGATGGGCGTTCTCTTACCTGTTTTTGATTATCCAGTAATCTTTGCCCTCCTCTGAGCCATAACCAACCACAAGCACAGCATGGTTGAGGTTGTTAGGGTTACAGTTAGATTCCTTGTAGATTCCTATAAATATTATATTATATAACATTGATTATATATAGAAAGAATCATTTAAATTGTTATATAGTTTATTGTTATATAATAGTTAAATAAATAGTCACAAAACATGAATCTATCTATGTATCTATCATTTATATATACATATATATATATAGATAGATAGATATAAAATGTATATTTTATATAGTGTGTATAATATATATATATATATTTAAAAAGTAATATATTTATTTAAAAAAGTATATATATATTAAAAAAAATCAATGATAAGTCTATGAAAAATCAATAAATGATTTTTATTTCAACATTATATATATATATATATATATATATAATAGTAAAATAGTTAATATGATATTAAAAAATATATATAATACAAATAGTGTAATTAGTAATAAAAAACAGAAATTCTTAGTAAATTATTACTTTATATATTATTTTCTTCTTTTCTTAGAATGAAAATAGAATCAATAGAAGTGAAGTCTTACCTGAACTGTAGAAGAGGAAGCTTGGATGGTCGGCATCTATAGCGACGGTGATTGGACCGACGGTTGCCACGGCGTCAGCCAATGCCTGCTCATCTCCGGCTGGGATGAACCTGTAATCACGGATTCTGGCAACAACTGAACTCCTGTCGTAGAAGCAGGGCTGAATATCCTGGTAAAACCATAACCAAAAAAGATTTATTCAGTTTGGCCATCTCAGAAAAAAAAATCATACAGTCTACTTCTCTAACTCAAATAAACAACATCTCTCACCGCTGACGTATAGGGGTAAGTGCTGGAGCTCTCCAACCCTTGACTGATCACATAATCATAGGCATTGGCCATCCAGGCTCCGCTGCAGCCGTACGTGCCATAAGATCTGGAGCAGTCCACCAGCTGCTGCTCGCTGAGGGACACCAACTGTCCCGTCCTCTTGAACACTTGGCCTTCGATGGCACCCGTAGTGCTAAAGGCCCAGCAGGACCCACAGTATCCCTGGAAAAAATTAAAAAAGACAAATCTTTAGGACCAAACATACAGTCAAATCATTTTCAACAATGTACATATCCCATCTAACAGGATTCTCAGTGCTTTGGCTAACGTTTTTGGGAAGGTTCTCTTATTACGATATTACGGTAACATTAATAGAAACGTTCAACTTTAATAATGTTCTTACAATGTGAGCACAAAAACGTTATTTATACATCATTCATTGAACATTTCTTCCTGAAATGTTTAGCTGGACTTCAGAGAACATTCAGAAATAATGTTTTCATAACTTAATGGCAAATGCTAGCTTGTATTTTTGTTAGCTGGGATGACACTATGGAATAAAAATAAAAATAAGCATATGAATGATGAAGAAAATAGACTTAGAAAATAGAAAAGAATCCCACCTGGTCTTTGACTTCAGTCACATATCCCTGTACTCGATAGTCAACATTGGTCAATCCCAGTCTGTTAGCATTTAAACTGAGCGTTTGAGCGGATACAACCTTTCCTCTTCTATCTATCGGGCCATTGATTTTGGCACCCAGCAAGCGGTTGTACTCCATACTGGTCTGAAGAGAAGAAAAAAATCAGATAAGATATCATGTTGGATCCAATTTTTGTGCATGACATTTACACCACTAGGTGTCAGTATAAGACCACCTTCAACAAAGCTAATAAAACCCACAAAGTTTCTCATATTGTTTATGATTTCAACCGTGTAGTTTTTTCAGTCGTTTTTACTTACGAGGTCACCGTATTTGTTCATTGCCATGCTAAACGTTGACAATCCGAAACGAAAATCATTGTTGTTTTTCTCAATCATCCTCATGTTCGTCTCCCAGATTGTCTGTCTCTGAATGTTGTCACTCTACAAATAGAGTGAAACTTCATGAGAAATACAAACAAAAATGCAGAGCATAATGTACAGTAACCTATAATATATAATAATCTTAACTACACAGTAACTAAGTGACTTAAAATACACGTTTATATAAAAGCACAATAGTGGTTCAGAGTTTTTAAATGAGTTTTTAAAGG